TAATAATGTGCTATTTTTGTTAATGTATTATTATAGTAAGAAAAGATATTTTTTATTGGTCTTGTTGTTCTTCTTATTTTTGGTCGTTGTATTTTGGTAGAGGTTTTACGGTGCTCGCAACTGCATAAGGTCACACTATAAATGCCATGGGGTGGGTGTCAACAGAGAAGTCCTTACAGTTATAGGGAATCAGACTTATTCTGCTTACCTCTCTAGCTTCAACAGCACAAAGTCTGGTTCGACTATCAAGGCACCCCGGAAATACCGACAAACATACACAAGAAGTAGAGGAAAATGACGATAGCAAGGATTAGGAAAGACAAAGCAGCAGTTCCCCGTTGCAGTTCTGCAATTCGGGCATATTTATGATTATGAGCATGACTTTGATGAATCAGCCCATTTACAATTCTACTGTGCTTAAGACCAAGTTAATACCCCCCCTCCCCCCTTTTCCCTTTGGGAATGGCCTAAAGACACCAGTCCCGGTGGTATAATTTTGTTCGTTTTGTGATGATGATAATATGTTAAGTTAAGCACTATCATAACAGTTATCGTTACAGGTACTATTTTATAACTCTTTCCCCTCTCTCATTCTTCTTCCCCATACCCCTTCTCTCTCCCTACCTCCTCCCCGCTCTCTCTACATCCCCTTCTCCACCCCCCACCAACCCTCTATCTCTCGCTGCCCCCCTTCACCCCTCACCCAGTACGCCACCCAGTCGTCCAAAGAACTCAACGCCATTCTCCAGCGCCGCAAGGAACACGTCAACAGCCTGGGCTGGCTCACTGGCGACACTCAAGACGCGCTCCCACCTGGTCAGTGCTTTTTATTTATTCTTTTTTTGACGCGAGGAGCAGGGGCCATGATTTCTATTTTTGTTTTAAAGGGACAACAACAATAACAAACAACATTAACATCAACAAAAAACAGCAGCAACATTAGCAGCAGCAACAACACCACCATCAACAACAACAGCAATAACAACTACATAAATATAGTGTAAAGCGCATAGAGCCTGCTGTTGAGCGGGGATATGCGCTATACAAATGCTATCTATTATTATTATTATTATTACATGTACTGGGTATGTCATGGCCAATACAGCTTTAGATAAAAGATTTTAAAAACATGTTATTTATTAGTAAAGATATTTCTGTTGATCAGTTGTGTCCAATGATTGATTATTTGTTCTGTTGTTGTTTTTCTTTTTAATTTCGTCCAGATTACGGAGGAGGTGCCAGCCTAAAGGATCAGCTGGTGCGACAGCGAAGTCAACTACGTCAGAGTCAGATGGACCTTGACCTCTACTGACAAAGGTCAGGGTCAGGGTCTGGATGGCTTTCTGGATTTTCTCCTTATATTTATAAAACCTGCGTGTCTAAAGACGGATCATTTCTGCTTTTCATCTACGTTCTAGATAAAGACATGTTGCACCAAATAAATGAACTGATAACTTAACTTAATAGATCAAGAACATTTTAGAAATGCAAGAATAATCCAAACAAAGCTCGATTCTCTCATCTCCATGACATTTGTCATCCGTCCACGATATCGATACTTGTACTGTCGTTGGTTTTCACGGATGTGATTATGAGCAGGTGGAAAACAACACAAAATACTATTAGAGATGTGCTTGTGTTTCTGATTTGCGTATGGTAGTTAAAATTTGCTACAACATTGCTTTGGTTCTGCTGTTGATCGGACGAATGTGTCTGCTACGTCCTTATACTTATACATTGTACTCAGATCTAGAATCTATACGACATGTACTTATATAAGTTATAGTGCTGACTTGGATTTATCATGATTATCCATAGTACCACATGTACCAGATTGTCACTATTGAGAGAATAAAGCTGGCTGGCCTGGCAAAGGACTACATTGTTGAAGTCGGGTATGCTGAAAGTCAAAGTAAAAAATCGTACACAACAAGATGGTTCACTCCTTTTTAAAAAACAACAACAAAGCCGAACACCCCCCCCCCCCCCAAAAAAAAAAAAAACACAAAAAAAAACAACCCCCCAACCAAAACAACAACAACAAACCCAACCACCTGCCCCTCAGAAAAAACAACAACACATAGGCCAATTATACTTTCTAACCCTGGACGATCTACGGTCAATTATTGTTTCAGAACTTTCCCCCCTCAAACTCAAGAGAGAAGTGAAACACCTTGTCGTTGTAGCTTAGGATTTTTGTTAATGCGTATTTAGCGCTATGATTACGCTACATGTATAACTGTAACAATTATATCACATCTACTTGACATGTATCATGTTTAGATCTAATGCAAACTCCTAAATTCGTGTGTTAATATGATTCAAACGAAACTTGTCCCTTTTCCTGTTTGTAAGCACCTCTTATTCTCTTAACCACTCCCCACTGAAATCATTTTCCTAGTAATGAATACACACAAAGCTGACTGACTTTTAGCTTATCTCTGTGTACAATAAACTATCAACTTTTCGTTCACATATATTATAACGATTCTAATAAAAACATTATCAAAGCAGAAATGTCTTGAGTTTTTCCTTTAACATTGCTATGATGAACAATAAAAATCCGTTTTTCGTTAAGAAGTGCACAGACAAGTGACTGTCAGTGTCACTGAATTTTAATACATATGTAAAAGGTCACTAGACAAGAATCGTGATACAAATATCATCATCATCCAGTGCCAGATCTGCGACAGACATCGGCGATCATGATTTTTCATTCTTTCCTTTGCTCGGATGCTCTCAGAAAAGCTACGTTTCCCTGATTTTTCCCTGTTACCCATTTGTTATATATCTATATTTTGCTATTCTTGCACCTATAGCTTCTTATAAATTTATATAACAATAACACTAACAGCATCAACACTCTGACTCGGGATTAAATAACCTCAGACTCCCCTCCCTTTCTAATCTCAGCAGTACTGTAGTGTTACATTATACCTGCTTCAATTTCATCATTCTACAAGCCACTTGACTATGCAACCTCATTTACTTTCTAAATTACCGGTACACAAATTATGTTAAGTAGGGAGAGATATAGATCTATTATGTTCACAAAAGAATAGTGAAAAATCTTTTTTCCCCACATTACCCCAATCTTCCTCCTATTCACAACTTATCTGCCTTTTAAAAATCAACTTAACCTTCTTCTCCTAATGTGTTGATAAATATAAGAAAGTAGGTGTGTGCGTGTGTGAGGTGTACGTGAGTGTGTGTGCGTGTGAGTGCGCGCGTGAGTGCGCGCGCGTGAATATTGTTCGTAGTTCGTACATGATGCATGTGTCTACATACACCGTAGCCGGGCACCTAGTCTCAGTATCAACGTACACGGTAACCCACCGGAATGAAAATAAACCAATATTTGTCCTGTGCTGTCACTTGTTGAAATTTTTAAAAAAGTTACCGGCCAGTGAACCTGTGCTTTCGCATCACATTGTGAGTACCAGTTGGGGTCACCAAAGTTCATTCAAAGTCTGTGCGCTACGAAGTATAGGGCTCAGGAATGGGAGAATTATTGATTTTAAAAAAATGTACAGTCAGTCGGGGGAGGGCTGGAGTTGAAGGCAACACCGGATGACAAAAACTGAACTTGGAATTCTTAACTGCCCGGTTACCGTGTACGTGACACTGAGACTACGTGCCCGGTTGCCGGTTACCGTGTACGTAGACACTGAGGCTAGGTGTCCGCGTACCGTGTATGTAAACACCCCGTTAGGTAAAACGCCTTAATTAAGCTGCGTTCACACGGGAGTGGGTGCTATAGAAATGATCTAGATCTACATTAGTACATGTATTACTATTGTTTATAAATGGGGAAAGAAATTTGCTGTATTTCACGATTTGATTTATTGTTAAAACAATACCATGCCGGTTTTAAAACAGAAAGTATCTGAAATAGATCTAAATACAGATTACCGGTGTATCACAGGTTTCAAGAGAAAAATAGAACAGGATCTGATTTGATTGGAGCATAAGCTTATTTTGCATTTAGACGTTTCGAAAATCTCTCCTCTTTTTTTGTTTTTTATAGACTAAACCTCATACACTTCTAGATTTTTGCATGAACCAAGTACCCGGTATGTACTAAATTTGGTCCAATGTTATGCCTTCATTTAAAAGTTATTACGAAAACCGAGGGTTCCGTTATTTTGTGTCACGCGTTATCATATTATATTTGGTCGATAACTTTATTGTTAACCTACTCGTGTGTTGTTACTAGTAAATGTTGTTAATAACATTTGATGAATTTGTATTGTTTGTCATGATTTTTTATTAAAAAAAGCTGTGCTGCTTTTAAGATACCGGTACTCAAAATTGTCATGTTTTTGAAACTAAATGTTAAGCCTGTATTAAATGCGCCTGGGATGGGAAGGTTGCAATTTTTTGCAATTTTTCTATTTCAAAAATGCAATTTTCCGCGGGGCCAGATATTCCCATCAACACCCTGTTCTCCTTTTATCCACTTCTTCCCACTTTACTTCCTCTCATTCTAGGCTGGTATCTCACGTGTATTGGTTTGTCTGTTGCACCCAGAAGACACGAGTTCGATAATTATAATCTGTAATTTAATGATGATGATATAATAATAATAATTGATTGTGTACACAATTTGTGATATGTCATACCATGCGTGCACGGAAGGTAGGGGCAAGCAGAATGCACTTTTTAACTGAAAACGCTATTATTTTCCAGAGACTGCTTGACCTAGTTCTGGCACATCGTGATTGTCTCCCTCAGGGGAGGCCAGACTAGTTTGCTTACTTTACTTTTATTCCATCCTCTGTTGCCGTTAAGTGTCGAGGGGAGATGCAGTTTTCTAGGGTAGGCCAGCTCCGCAGCTCTTTCAGTTGCGACATTATGTTTTTTCAGGGTTTCCTTGACACCCTCGATCCACCTTCTGCGTGGCCTTCCTCTTCCTTTAAAGCCTGAGTGCTTGGTGTTGTAGGTCCGTGTTTGGAATCAATCCGTGTATTCTCCTTTGTTCTTTACGTAGCATGACTTATCCGCCGTCGGCTTGCTAGGCCAGTCACGGTTTCACTACAGCCCCTTTAGTCAGCAATGTTTCGGGGTGACCCGGGTCGGCCTTCATGGCTAGCGAAACGACATTACGTCACACCGTACTTCACCCAGATCCAGTCATTCCCTACTTTGTCCTGTTTCTAGCTCCCCCGACAGGGACGAAAGGTTGGACTTACAACAGGAATAAATGATCGAATGGAAAGAAACGTAGGCACTGGGTGCTGGATCTACAGCAGATCTATGTGTTTCTAATTCTTTTCCCAACATGGTTACTTACTAGGGTCCCTACTTACTATTTCAGTATTTGATTGTGAAAAGTTAGAAAGCAACCAGAACCTGCTGTAGGACATGATATTACAAATAATGTCTAGACAACTTCTGTGAGACAAAGATCCAGAAAAAGAGATAAAGATTTAATAAGGAGCAAAAAATATCACAGGAAAAGACATTAGTTATAGCGAATGTAAGAGTGATCCCAATCTATAAAAGGATTCGGCTGTAACAGGGATATCACGCTGGTCCTGGCCATCCAGTTGTAGCTGAAGCCTTTTGTCCATAAGAGAGGAAAGGTCAGAAATAGGCTTCACCAGAGGCCCCCTCCAGTCATTCATGCTCAATATTACAATAATCATACTATATATAATACGAGTACAAATGGATTGAGAAAAACAAAAATTGAATTACAAACTCATTTTAATGCAAAAACTTTCCATCACAAGGGAAACAACTGCAACATATTCATTATAATTTAATCATCATCAATCATTACAAGGAAAACAAATAACAACTGACAACCGTAGCTCTTGACAAAATATGAACCAAAGACATTTCTTCAATAAACTCAGATGTGAGTTAAGGTGATCCGCCCTATAGTAAGTCAACAGCACACCTCAGATTCAATTGTTCTCCTTGAAATTGACATCACAACTGTGCTGATGAGAAAATTTGATTCAATGATTTCTACACTCTCTAATGCAAATTCAATTTTCTTGCAACTGTGAAAACACACACATGTGGTATTTATGATTTTGCCACAGAAACGCCTGACATAGCAAAACATTCTCAGTACCGTAATAATCTCATGCAGAAAAACTGAGAAAGTCTTTTGACCACAGACTCATCACACTAAAGGTTTGAACTTGCTACCTTCCAGTTTCTTCTACAGCCTCATAATCAGAGTCAACAAATTTGGCCCCAAAAAACCTCCTGATGCAATAAAAAGACAAAAAGCAAAAAAAAAACCCCAAGCCCCAAAACATTTCAGTTTTAATGGTGAGGCTTTGAATTTTTTCTGGCATCTTCCATCTATTCAGAAAACAATTCGATTGTTCAGTGTAAAACTCCATTATATGCCACTTTTCAGTTTGTCATATACATGTATGGCAAAATCTTATACAGTGGGTGTTGCATTTAACGAGGTCACATTCAGCGAGAAGTCGGCTCAAACGAGGCAATCCTTAATCCCCGATTTTGTCCTCTATATTTTTGTAAATGTACGTCAGCTCCAACGAGGTAGCAAACAGACCGAAGTTGCTTTCAATGAGGTCACAATAACTAAATAAAAGCATTCAGCGGCCCCAAAAGCGAAGAATTTTCTCCTTTCTCTCCATCTCACGCGAAGCCTAAGGCCCATCATCGATTCCTAACACATTGTATTGCTAGAACAAGAATGCCTCCTAATATGGGCCCCAAAGCCAAGAGGATGGGCGAGGGTTAGTCTACGGTAGGGATGGGAGGGGGTGGGTGGGAACGCGATGCCAGCTGTGTGAAACTAGATGAACTCTGGAAGGGTAGGTCTAGACCCAGACCTTCATTTTTTTCAATTTTCTTTCTTCTACTGACCAGAAAATCCAAGCTCCCGCCTTTACTTTATGTAGATATCTTGTCCCAGATGTGAGAGGGTATGTTTCTACACGAGAAGTGTTCCGGAAAAAAAATAATTAAAAAATGCAGAAATGACGGTCAGAACATAGATCAAACACACGCATACTGATAGTGATACTGTTTGAAATTTTCGTCATCAGGGGGAACAACTGTTTTAATTACTGGTAGGCCTATTGGTACATCATATATAAATATAACTTGTCTCCTATCTTTACTTTCGCCTTAGTCACGTTCAACAAGCCTGTCCCGGCAACCTCGTTGAATGCGACACCCACAGTAGCCTACTAAGCAGTCAAATTGTTCAATGGAGAAAGAAGGGGGAAAAGGAAAATAACTTTCATTTAACATATCTTTAAGCATCACAAACAATCTATACACAAAAATACCATCCTCTTCTTCGGCTTTTAAAAAATATAGACCTTGCCACTTTTCTGCGATCTAAAACCAATGTACTAAACAATCTGATGACAGAGACTGAAAAAAAAAAGATGTGACTTTCACCTTTTTACATGTTACTTTAACTAACATTTCTTTCAAGCGACAAAACTCGCAGGAAATAACCTCAACACCACACATAAATTTAAAAGAAGTACTATTCCTAAAAAGCCTCTTTAAAAAGATTCCAAAGACCGATCACATAACACAGCCAGGTAACAAATGGCAAACTTCCTAATAAAAGGTGCACATGTACTCCAACCACCTGCCCTTCCACTGGAATGCTCAAATGGGGGAAAGTAAAGAAAGACACCCCCTCTCTACCCCCAAGTCTTCATGCATCACAATGATCACAGCCAACTCTGTCCTAATCCTTTGTAAGAAATTCTGCTGTGATCCAGGACATTGAGCACTAGGTCCAACTACACTTACTTACCCTAAAACATTACCCATGTGATAACCTATGCACACACACAACATGGTTACACATATAGAGTTATTAAACATCTCTGTAGTCAAAACATGGGTGGCACCTGTCCTCAGTTGACTTTTAAATTAAAAAAACTCTGCCATCACCCCGATCTTCTCATCCAGATCAACATTGCTGCAATTTTAGCAATTTTCCAATTGGAACTGATGTAATATCATATCAATGACATAAAGTACCTCTTAAGTTAGCAATGTGTGATAATAAAACAAAGCAATACTTCTATGTAGGAGGGGGGGAGATGGGGGGAGGGGAAAGAGAGAGAGAGAGAGAGAGAGAGAGAGAGAGAGAGAGAGAGAGAGAGAGAGAGAGAGAGAGAGAGAGAGAGAGAGAGAATAATACACATAGTCAAACTCACAACACATAGTATAGGCTGGACCTTATGTTTCCCACTCAAATATCGATACTTACTAAATTTCACATGCAACCCCCCCCCCCCCTAAAAAATACAAAACAAAAACAACTCCAAACAATATTATAACAGTTTCAAGGAAACCAGTAAAGAACCTAAATACCCTTACCTATTCTTGCCAAACAAATGAAATGTTACCAATTTTTTAAAAAAGGAAAAAAAAGAAAGAAAAAAGAATAGGTTCAAAACTAAAATGAAACCTCTCAAATGCTTTAATAAAATTGCATGGTCGAGACCAGTGAAAATGCAATAAAAACCCACAGCAGCTTAAAAAATAGAAAATATCAAAGTATCATACAGTATGATAAGGGACTGCTTCAACCCTGCCTGCCAGGTCCAACCTGGAGGGAGTGGCATACAGCATCCAAGCAGACAGACGAAGAAATTCGATGAATTAGAACTTCCTCAACTGGGAATTAAATTCATGTCTAAATGTGTGGAATGGCAGAGGGCTTTAGTGAAACACCACAGACACTGTTCAACTAAAAAAAAAGAAACTTCATTTTAGAAAAAATAAAAGACTAGACTAACACCTACTCTTTTATTGAAAATAAAACACAACTAAAACAAAATCAAATGCAGAGATTCTCTTGAAAAAACAACAACCAAACAACCACAAACCCAATGGATAACCATGAATGAATAGTGGCTACAAAATAAAAACCTTTATTATAACATCGGTGGCAATGTGGTGAAATCAGGCACTCATCAAAATATTGAAATTGAAGAAACTAACATTTTCCCGTCTGTTGCGCAATTTCGATCGATTTTTTTTTGGGGGGGGCGCGCTAAATGTACATGTTATACGTCCATTTAGCAACATATTTCTGAAAAACAATCAAATGTCGAAATTTTTTTTGGTAAAATTGCAGTTTCCAAGGAAACTCAAGCTTTAGAAATCGCCAAACTTTTTTCGACCATTTTCTTCTTCTTTTTTTTTTTTTACCTCTGACACTAGGTGCCCCCCATCTCCTTCAATCACAAATATCATTTTTCTATTCAAGATAGTTGGGTAGCTTTTTCATCAAAAGCAAGACAAATGAACAAGCTTTAAGTTTAAGATTATACCAATAATCCCATGTGCCCAAAAATTGATGAGCGCCCGATTCCACTGAGCCGTGATACAAATGCAAAATATAATAATAATATTATATTTATAACTCAGTGTATTAAAAGTGACCTGATGACATTTCATTACACATGAAGAAGAAACAAAAATTTATCAACTTGTGTATTTTTACACAAGATACATAATACTTTGAAGAAGAACATAAAAATATGTCCTGTTGAATGCCACATTTCCAAACCACAATGGAAAACTATGAAATGAAAGTCAAAGAAATAACTCATCCCTCATTAAATTAATAAAAAGATAGTAGTTCATATTTACTAGAACACTATTGTCCTTCACATTTTTAGAGGAACAATTTCAACACGAGCAACCAAAAAGGCAGTGCAAAGAAAAATCTAGAGACTAAAGTAAAGTAAAGCATGTTTTTCCCCCCCATAAAAATTTGAATGAAATCAGTGTGACCAGCTACTCAGAGTCTAAGGAGAGAAAATAACTTGCAATGTAGAAAGAAGTTTCCACCAGTTATTGACAGTGACAACAGAAGATCAAAAGTTATGAACATAGCCTACTTCTTTTAACTCTGATGAAATTTTTTTTATAAACCACTTCTTCTAAGAGCATATTAAAATATGACTATGACCAAACCAATTAGTAAAAAAATTTACGAACTGTTAAAAAAGCAGGAACCTGAAAAGTTACTTCTCAACTTTCAAGCAACATCCAACCATTTATCAGATTGAACTGCAATATGATCACACTCATAAGAGTGATTTATATGGTTCATACATTACATATATTCACTACTGACTGGTAGAAGACACACTAACATGGCCTTCAGAAAGTTTAACAGGAGCCGGACTCACATCAACAACCTTAGAGCCACTGTGGAGAAGAATTGCCGAGTCCTGGGCTTTCGGAAGAGTGGACGTCTGACTGGCCTGCCATTTGAGTTTGTCTTTCGTGGGCACTGATGGGTGGTAGAATGGGCAGGTGGGAGTTCGGCACGACAGGCCAAAGCGGCAGGGCTTGGGATGCAGGAATGAGCAGTTCACATTGTGGCAGTTCGGGTAGAAGCGACATACCGTCTGATGGCCGCCGCCCAGGGAGGACGATGGAAGGCGAGTAGGCACAGCTCCAAAGCCAGCAGCGTACGCTTTGGAGGAAAGGGTAGGGGAGAAGAGGACATGTGACTGGGGGATGGCAATGACGTGAGGGGGAGCCCCACCTGCGCTGGTTAGACCTGAGCGTTTGCTCGTGTGGGTGAACGGGCAGTCTGGACGGGTGCACTTGGAGTCAAACCGACAGTTGGGGTGAATGAACAAGCACTTGTCTCCAAACTTGCAGTTGGGGAAGGTCTTGCAATGCGTGGTGGGGTGCCAGTACTCACAAGCACCTCCAGCCGCACAGGCTGGCCAGAACCGACAACGCTCGGAGAGCTTGGCTCTTTTCACAGCTGACACACCTTCAGACACTGATTCTGACAAGTCAGAGTAAGATTTTGCTTCCATTTTGTTCTCATGCTCGTCATCTGAATCTTTGAGGCTGATGGAAAACGGCTGTATCTTAGGCGGTGTAATCTTGGCAGTGGTGGATTGAGGAAAATCTTGCAGGGCGTGCTGGGGATGAAGGGTCTGTGGAGGCAGACGAGCTTGTAGCAAGACTGGATGCATGCCCGGCCCAACCTGAGAGGCGAGAGCATCCAACACAACATTCTCCCTCTGTCCTACAACCTCAGCCGACATTCTCGGGCCGCTAGACCCCAGAATAGGGAGCTTAAACTTGTCAAACGAGTCTTGTTGCTCATCAAACTCACGTTCGTCAATTCCATCAAGGGTGACAATAAATCTAGTACCCTTTTTGAATTCCTCTTGTTTCAGAGCACCTTTCAGGTCCTCTCCTCCTTCCTCGTCGATACCCCCGACAACTTTGATGATGTCATCATCGTCCAGATCCAGTGTGAACTCATCATTCTGGCTATCCTCCAGAATCTCAGGCTCAAAGTCATTGCTAATCATTTCGGCCAGATCCTCAGCATCGTCATCAACACTGCTGCTAGCGTCTTTTGCTTTGTCACTTGACTCTTCAAATTTTCCCTCCATCAGTTCAACACTCCCCTCCAAATCTCCAATTTCTTCCGTCACCTCCTCTTTCAAAGCAATAATTTCAGGATCACAACACACGACACGGCTGTCTGGGCTTCTGGCCCTGACCTTTGCAGTCTGAGCAGCCTTGACAGACATGACAGCTGCCTCGCACTGCTTCCTCACCACTTCCTTCCCTAGTAGGGACAACCCAGTCCTAGAACCACCATTTCTGCCATCTTTCACTTCGGCAGAAACCTTACCCGTCCTAGAAGACAACTGCTTTGTCCTCAAATCAACAGAGTCACTTCCAGCACTAGACGATCTACGTTCAGACACAACTTTACCGAGACGCGAGGTGACAGAACTCCTAGCTGGTGGTGCAACAGTGGTCCGTGAAACAGCTGGCTTGTCTCTCGACGGGGGAGTCTGACTATGACGTGAGCGCACCACATTTGAACCTGGGGCAGACACTAAACGGGTCGTGATCTGGAAGTTCTTAATCCCTCCAGATTTTCGTTCATCTCTCACCTCCCGCTGGTGAACTACTTTTCCTGCAACAACATCTTTTTCATTCTTTCGTTCCAGGGGCCTGGAAGAACTATGTACTGTCTTCTTTTCCTCCTGCTGGATTCCAATACTCTGAAGAAGCTCTTGCCTCCTGGAACGTGAGATCAGCTCCCTCCGCTCTTCCTTGTTTAATAAATGACGAGCGTCGTTACGAGCTAGGCTGGAGCGAACAGACTCTTGAGTGGAGCCTCCGCGCAGCTGACTAGGCACTTCCTTCTTGGATGGTATATATGGCGGGGGCGTCTCCTCCCGATCTGCCTGGTTGGAGCATCTGCGCTTGGGACTGTAGGTCTCTGCTGGTGAGTCAGACCGACTCATGGGTCTAGTGACCGCCACCTTCCGCTTCACCGCAATGGATCGTTCTGCCTCTGTCATAGCCTTCATCAGGAGGGCTCTGTGGAAGAAAGGAACAAAGTAAGATTTTTGGATAGCTTAAACTTTAGTAATTACTGTCCCATGTCCTCCTCTTTAACCCCTTTGATACAATGCATTTTGCATTCATTCCAAGGTACATTACGATGTGGAAAACAGGTCTATTCCACGACATCATACATAGAATATGAATATTCATTGTCAATATATGTAGCATTGAAGGGATTCAGGCACCACACGATGTCAACTAGTTGAAAAAAAAACAACCCCTGTGCTATAAAAACATTAGATCATGTGTAATACAGAATTTTCTCTAACTCTAAAAATGTATCAGACACACATAAAAAGCTATGTGAAGATCTAGTGCTTTGCTTACTGCTCTCAACGCAGATCATGTTAATAGCCATGGCATAGATGATATAGGAATTATTAATGATGATGATGACCATGCAGTGATGCCAAAATGTTGATGACCATTAAATTGTTACAAATTATGTAATCATTATATCTAATTTCTGATTTGTCATTGTAACGCATCTCCTCAGGGTGTATCAAAGGGTGAGACATAATAAATATATCCCCTGTATGGCTTGTTGAGTTGTAGTTTAGGAAAACACACTAGAAGACAGCTCACTCTCAAGAAAAAGGTTCAAAAAGGGCATAATTTCCAAAAGATGAAATACCGGCACTGGTAAAAAAGTTTTCTTTCATTTCTCAATTGGTTTCATACTGTACAGACATTGCCACCAGCATTTCTGAGAAAGTTTGAAAAGTATAATCTGAAACGGAGAAGTAAACCATTTTATTGTATGCTGTTTTTGGGAAAGGTCGGCATGATAATGACCTCATTTGACCAGGAAACAGATCATAACTTATACAACCAATAACAAACTAGGACCAATAAAAAGAAGTAAACGGAGCAGTGCATGCACATAGCTAGGGTCTAAATAAGAGCAGGTCTCAGAATGCACACAAAAACCAACAACATTAGTTTCCTGCTAAATGATAGACTGATTATAAAAAAATTATTTAGCTGCCATTTGAATAAAGAAAAGGCACATCAACATAAGCATAGTCATTTAGGGCTACGGAAAAAAAGTCACCAAGATGGATGGACAAATGGCGATGGCAAGGCACAGGAGGACCAACAAGAGGCATCCTCCAGCCACCAGCCTGGGAGCTGTGACATCCCTGAATATACTAAAGAATCACAAGTTTAGCAAGGCATACCACAGCTTCCATCTAGACGGTGTTGTGCTTTAAACTGAAAAAATTAGGTCAACTTTTTATTTTTTACTTTGTTATGTTACAAAACTTACACTACGGTCAAACTGCGGGTCCTCAATGAAAACATGAGGTCAGCAAGGATAAGTGCAAAAGTACTAAAGGTTAACTTCTGTGTCTTCCCTCATCATTGAAACCATGAACAATTTTTAAAAAACCAGTTGTGCAGATAGAGCATGACACCATTGATGTAATATAAAAACAAAAAAATACACAACAATCATGTATTAAAACGACATTTAAGAGTAAGAGTTACAAAAACAAGTATTTAAGGTCTTCTGTAGCTCCCCACCTGAAAACAAAAGAAATCTTATCATAAATAGACTAAGCCATGCTCCTGAAAGGTTTGACATTATCCAACCTGAACTTGACTTTTCAAAGTAGCAGAGTAACCATGGACTTTTAGTTATCCTGTGATATTATCTGATTATTAATTTTTAAAATGTTCTCCAGAATAAAAGACAGACAACAATACATTTAAAAAACAGTAAGTTAAAATAAACCCCCCTCCCTTCAAGGGTGCATAGATCCCATCTTATCAACTCCAGGAAAGAGAGGAAAAAATAAAAAACTAGAGTCATACAAAGCCTTATTAAAACTATCCTTTCTCCATAATTTTATAAATTTAGTAAAAACTCACAACACCAGATTTACAGTTCAGGGAAAATAAAGTTCTCTCTCTTACCATCACAAGCTCGAATGATTTACTGGATTTTGTACTTCTTCTTCCCCTTTGACTGCACTGTTTTTTTCTGGTCCTTTCTTCTCATCTTCTGACTCCTCTTCTTCCTCTTCATCATCTGAACTCCCATCATCGGATTCTTCAGAACTGCTCTCTGAGCTTGAAGCCTTGGAGGGTTTTATGGCCCGTTTGTTGATCACAGTGATTTTCAAATTCTTCGCCATCACCCGCAAGGCTTCAGAACTGATGGGTTTGAAAGATTCCACAGCCTCCTCTGCTTCTAAAGAGGGCGTTCCTTTCTGCGCCTTCTCTCCCTCAGCACCTTGCTTGAGCACAGACGACGCCTCCTGCACTGGCCGTCGATGACTGTGAATCGAGTCCACCAGGAATGAAGGAAATGGCTGCTCTTTGGACTGGGAGGAAGCTCGGGGGGACATCATGGGGAGTGGCAGAACCTGTTCACGTTTTTGTCCACCAGAGGCACCACCACTGACGACATCCCGCGAATGTCCTGAGGTAGACACAATACACCTTCGAGGCACATCTAAGCCTGAGGTGCTGCTAGGCGGACATGATTCAGTCGAATGAGGGGAGTCAACCTCTCTCCGACTAGAAGAAACCGGTGAATGGACTTTTGTCTCTCTTTGGTTCGCCTTCCTTAGGCCTTTATCAGCCTTGTTCACTGGGACCCTTCCACTTGTAGAAGAAAAGACAGATTCAGATTTTTTAATGTGACTGGATGAACTAGAACCTTTATCCACATGACTGGAGGGCAGTTCCCTGTCTCCCTGCCTGCGACTGCTGCCTTCTAAAGAGTCTGTTCTTGTAGAGACTTTTGGTTTTGAACTGGAACTGTGAAGGAAAAGTCGCCTGTGAGGACTAGGGCTCTGTGAGATAGGACTGTCGTGAAACGTGCCGGAATTAGATGAAAGAGTCTCCACCATCTCTGCCTCCTCTGTGGTGGCAACGTGACTCTTGGCGGATGAGGATTTGCTCTCAGATCTATTCTCACTTAGCACATGTGAACCCAGTGACACACAGGATTGACCTACAGTCACAAGACCTTTCTCTGAATTGGCAGCCTTGACTGTCTTATTTGCAGTTTCATCTGAATTCACCCTTGAAGTAGTTGTCTCAACAAGATGATTTTTGGAAAGCTGAGGACTCTGAATAGAGCACGTAACATTTTGACTGCACGGAACAGATCCACCATGGGTCTCTAGATTGCACCGTATAGTATCCCCTTGTAACCTGTTAACAACACCGGAACCAACATTGTATAAAGCCTGCTGAATAAGCAGTTTAGCCAGTGAGAACTTGTCAGGACTCAAAGTCCTTAGAGATTTTTCCACAGACTGTGTAAAAAGAGCAATTTCATCATTCTGCTGGTGAGCATCCCGTAAACAATCGGTGAGAATTTGTCTCATTTCGCTCAAACTGACGTCCCCTGACAATCTGACGACCTTGGCTGGGGGTTCATCTCCATCTACACCACCTGAAGAGTGCCCGGCCTCCTCCCTGGAAAAAGCATTGGAATCGGTGAGACAACGAAACTATATAAAAAGACACCGTAAAATGTTCCTCTTGACAACTTATAATATTACAGAAATAGTATTTTTCATGACAAGTCTCTAATTACATCAGTTACTGATTTTTCTCCTAATAAAACTGAACAAAAGACATTTCAGTTTCATTTCAATGAAAATCTACTTCAGAGATTAGAATCTATGTAAAAAAGCAAATGAAAATTACATGGGTTGTCATAGGAAAAAGAAAAAGAAAACAATAAAAACGAAACAAATATGTATACTTTACATTCAACCTTAAGATAGATTACTACGACAATGGTCTTTTAGTCTGTCTATTAAAAAGTAAAAGAAAAGTGAAGTCCTACATACCTTCCAACTGAAGTTTGCATCCAAATTGACTCTTTATTTCATCGAAAGGGCTATCCGGCCAACGAAAAATGAGAAAGCCAAAATTTTAACTTGAGATTAAGTCAGTGTGAAATTATTAGAAACCAACATGACAAAATAGAATCGACCCATCTCACACGATGATAAATTCATCCCTCTCAAACCCAACTGACAAACTTAACATGACAGGAACATTAACTTGTTAATAGACAGACTCAAAGAAAATATTTTTAACATCACATCCATTAGCAATGCTTTGTTTGCAAAAATTTCACAGAATGTATCCATTCTCATCTGGATCTGAAACACCTGAAACATCGAGCACATTGACTCTGTACATGAAAGTATGGTGTGACATTTAAATCCTTATTCCTCAGCTCTACCTGTGGGTGGGGGGGGACAGGGATTTTTCATACAGTTACCACAGTGTAGATTGCTTAAATTGAAAGTTAACTTGAATAGAACCGTAATCTGAAAGAAAAAACAATACCCGATTTTTTCCATCTTTCTTTGTAACAAAACTATTGACGGGCCAATAAGCTCCTTTTTCTACACTACACTGAAAAGATTTCTAGAGTTAAGTAGTCCAATTCCTTAATAGCAACCCCCCAAGTATACAAATCATCAAGTCTTAATCACTTCAAAAAGATAGCGACTTCAAGAAGAGAGCGAAACAGAAGACAGGGACATGAGAATGCATGGGTGTCAATTAGTCAATTGTGAGCCAGAGGTGCATATTGCCAGAGCAGTACTTTTAGCTTATAAACGTCCACCAAACATTGCATCTATTACAAATGCCATGCTGAGATATTTATAGTGAGAGTAGCGTAACACAAGGATAGAGCCTTTGCAGCTACTGTGTGACCTCCAGTGAGTTGTGGCCTCATCTAAGAAGACCTAAGTTGGAGCCTATTGTCTTTGTGAAGCTAGTTCACCTAACTCTCATATCATTACATTGTGCAAGCACAAAATGTTGATGCATTTCATGTTGTCACTGGCCTAGAGGCATCTCTGAGGAGGACACATCCTTCTCCCTTCTCTAACACAAAACACAGGGTATCTGACTTACTTTTGAGTCTTCTGTGTGACTGTACTGTTCACTACCATGCATACACCCTGCACTTTAAATTGTAGAATACTAAATGAAGTAGGTAGGTGAGAAAAAAAAAGTTTCCAAAAGTGAAATTTGCCATAAACCATGATAAGCATGAACTCCCAACACTTCACCCTGTCAAGTCCAAAGGCAGAAAGCAGATATTTTTTTCCAACCCATTTCAAAAAAGGAAAAAAAAACTACTCATGAGGGCACAATCTCTTTAAACCGTAAATCTGACAAAACCAAAGAAAATCTGACTGTCAAGAAGGCTTCAGTTTAAATGATCTTCACTGTGCTTCTTGTGCAAGGAAACAACAAAAGTTACATTTTGATATACAATTTCACTCCTGAAATAAAAAAGCACTGATAAAGACAGTGGAACAATTTCTAGTCAAGGAGCTTGGTTGCATTTTCATTGAGAATCTGAAATAGTTGACAGAGTGCATGAAAACAATGCCCAGTCGAAAAAATACAAAGCATTTCAGAGAGTACATGATACTACAAAGTGGATATAAGAATATTAATAAGATGAGACTAATAATAAAGGCCCAAGAAGTAAAACCTAAAATTACAAGATCTTTCACTGTCTATAGCCGGGTACCCATTCCCACATGGGTGATATATGTGAGGAAAATTCAAATGACGAATGTAAAGTGCCTTTCCCGATGACAGAACGTCAGGCCAGAGCCTCAACCCCCCAAACCTCACACGATTCTATTAAAAGTAAGGTAGCCTAACCACATGACTACCGATGCTATAAAGTCAAAGTAAAAAAAAAGAAGAAAGTTTGAGTGAGGCAAGATCCCTAAAAAGACGAAAAAATTCACAAACTGATCTCCATCGTCGTAATTTTATCATGAGTAGGTTGGATATCTCTGACTCCTAATAGCGTCAAGTGATTATTAATGAAAGTCGATTCCTAACAGTGCCAAATGATTATCAACTCCCAATATAATCACTACGGCATAATAGAACAGGTGTAGGCTATTGCTGACCGAAGTGACTATATTTGGACTTGAGTCCAATTAGACAAAAATTATAATCAGACTCTGAATTGAGCCCAGCATGACGTCCATTCTGACTTCTGACCCTTGTGTTCCTAAATATTTCCAAGATTTATGATTTTTTTTTCGATTATAATGAAAACAATTGAGACGTGAGCTTCAACATACAATAACTAGATCTATCTAAACTGGCCTTCCCTGCATCATCAGTATGAACAGAACAACCAAGTTGAGTTGACCATGTCAGGGGCAAAGTTAATTATGTCAACCAATGAGATTGCCCATAGCGATCTCGCACTCTCGGCTTGCTGAGGGCAAGAGGTGTTGGGAAGAGGCCACGGCTTGTGCGAAGTGATTTAAAAAAAATTAATTACAGAAAAACTACACACAACAAAATGAAATTAAACACGTGGAAAGACAAATGGTGGTGGAAGTAATGACGATGCAGTAGACTAGTGGTGGTGGAAAGACCCTGAGTTGTCAATTATCATGTACTTAGACTTAGACACTGCCATTGGGCAATGAGAGTGCTGTCTTTTGACTTTTGACACAATTACACAGTCCCAGTAGGTAATTCTAGTTCTAATTCTGGTTTTACAGCCGTTGGAGGCTATTCGGACTCAAATTCCAGTGTGCGTGCGCAATCACTGGCTGTACCGTACTTTTTTGTCTTTGCCGAGGACTACACTCGAGTCCGAATAATCTCCCGTTGCTATTTGGACTTTAAACTACTGGCAGGCTAAATTACACAGAGTTTCGCGACTACAAAGGGATCAAAACATAAAATTCAAAATTAGTCCTCATAAGACAGCCCCCCCCCCCCCTTCTCTCTCTTTCATACTTTTCCTCTCTCCATCTTACTTCCCCGGGCCTGCCCCATCACCTTCATCCCTTTTTTTTTTGCATATAGATCTGTATATTCCCTCCCATACCATTGCCCACTGCCCGGCCCTACTATTATTTATATCATCCTTTGTAAAGAAAAGACCACAGTTCGCCCTGGGTCACAACGACCGGCATCCATTTTTTGTAAGTTCCTTAGCCAACTCGTAGAAATCGAGGAAGGCCAAGGTTGAATTGCTTGTCTGCTTCACATGAGGTACACTTCCAAGTGATTGCACAGGTGAATTGGAGTTTGAGTCCGAATAGCCACAGAAAGCTGTTTGGAAATCCAAATAGATCCGGCCTTAGTAGAAAATGGTCTTGACTGGTAGCTAGGCGTGAGACAGGAGGGAAAGTAAAAGAATATAGTCGAAATTATATACATAACAGGTCCGGTAATAACAAAAATCCGACAATAACAGGAATTTTTAAAATCCCCGTTTATTTTACTCTTTGTCTCCATTTCATTAGAAGTTATCGGCAACGGAGTGTCTACGTACACGGTAACCGGGCACCTAGTCTCAATATATATCTACGTACACGGTTACGGTAACCGGACACCTAGTCTCACTAGCTACGTACACGGTAACCGGAATGAAAATAAATCAATATTTGTCCAGTACTGTCACTTGCTGAAAAAAAAAAAGAAAGTCTATACGTCTTGTTGGGCTTGCCATCGTGACCGGTCAGTGAACCTGTGCGTGCGCATCACATGAGTACCGGTTGGGGTCACCAAAGTTAATTCGAAGTCTTGAGCAGCCAAGTATAGGGCTCCGGAATGGGGGGGAATATTGATTTATTTTAAAGGTACAGTTAGGGGAGGGGTGGGGATGTAGGCAACACTGGATGACAAAAACTGAACTTGGAGTTCTGAACTGCCCGGTTACCATGAACGTGACACGGAGACTACGCGCCCGGTTGCTAGTTACAGTGTACCTAGACATTGAAGCCACATGCCCGGTTACCGTGTACATGACACTGAGACTCCGTGGCCAGTTGCCGTGTACGTAGACACTGAGGCTAGAGGCCCGGTTACCGTGTACGTAGACACTCCATATCGGCAATAACAGGGCCTCATCGGAGCCCAATCGGTTATAGCAGGGACAAAGACTAGTTAACAATGGATAAAAAGTAACAGAGAGAGAGAGAGAGAGAAACGCAGTGATGGAGCAAGCCCACGCAAGCCATGCTACTGCAAGCACATGGAGTGGGTGAAGTGAGAGAGGCTGCGGTGTGCTGCAGACTTCGATCTAGCCCTAAGCCTAGTAGATACACGCACGCGTAATGCGCAGGGTACATGTGGCGAGGGAAACTACCCATGAATAAAAATACAACTAACTAGATTCTAGATTAATCCACAAATGCTTGTAAGCTTCTCTTGCATTTCAGATTAAAATTTTTTAACAAGGGATCCGACTGACATTATAACAGGACCTTTTCTCTGGACTCACCATCCTTGCTAGATCTATATCACATTTCCACTGTACGTATTCTATAATTAGTACAATAGACTCTACACTCTATAGTAATAAGAACAAAAGTGTACATACCTATTGGCTTGCAGAGCGGGTGGGACACTTGACTTGCGATTCGTAACTTTGACAACACTAGCAACACTGCCAACTGACGGGTTGTGAGGGTCATATTCCTCTTCATCATCATTGCCAGGTCTGCTAACACTGCTGACAACAGAAATTGGAGTCTTGCGTTTCCTTGCTGAGACTGCTGGTCTCTCTGGGCTATGACTCTTGCTCCGGCTTAAGCGGCGACCCGATTTTAAACTCAAAGCAGCAACATTTGATTTCACTTTAGTAGAGTTTGTTACTTTGACTTCTCTTGACTCCTTAGCAACAACTTCAGTTTCAGTAGTCTCGAGTTCCTCAGCTAGCGCATCAGACGTTGTTTCTGTCACTAGAAGCTGTCTCACATCTTCGACATCTTCAGAAACTTTACTTGATTCGGACGGAGCTGGTTCTTTACTGCCTGAATTTGAAACGTGAACTGTGTCCGAATGGGCATTTTCTCCGTCATCCGTCACTGACTTTACACTCCTTTCTTTTTCAGTATTTAGAACAGAGTTCTTTGAAGAAGGATCTAAATCTATATTTTTAGAGTCACTTTTCTTGCTCTTTTTATCCTTGTCTTTCCTACTGGAGTCGCTCTTTTTGGATTTTTCCTTCTTCTTTGAGCTTTTTGACTTCTCATTCTTATCTGTACTCTGCTGATTGCTTGACTCTGTATTTATTGCTTGCAACTTAACAAGCAACCCGTGAAGCCACTCTGTGAAAGTGTCTGTGTTCGTTCCGAGGAAGAGAGACAGGTCGCCGGACATTTGGGCTCGAGTTTTCTTGTTCGCGACCATAACCATAATGTAGTCTGGGAGTTCATCATCAACATAGCAGCCCAATTCCATCAATTTCGCCTTTATGGCAGATCTAATCTTCTGGCTTATCTCTACACCAACTTCCATTATGCAACTATCTCATGCACGCAAAGCGTGCACTAACCCAATGAGCACACAAAAGTTATTTATTTCCACTACACTGTAGAATTAGAATCATAGGAACGTCGAGGCACCATTTCATTTCATTGAATGGGCGGAAGTAGTTTTGCTATAGCCTAGTAAAATTGTTTCCCTTGGTGAAGATGGCGCTGCTATTCGTTCATTTGAGATCTTCAAAAGTGCTACGACGGAAAACGTATGCCAAACGAAACAGAAAAGACTTGATCGTTGCCAGTACTCAGTACTACGTTTATTTTATTGTTTATTACAAACTTTTTCATAGGCTAATCTTATAGTATTGTATATATTCTATATAAAGTTTCATGGCCTTATGTTGTAGACAAGAATATGATTTTTTTCCCATTATGTCAAATTAAGTTTGGAGACCACAATATGAAAAAAAGAATAGTAGCTATAGAGTTAATAATAATAGAGGTCTATACAACTTCAATAATTCCCAAATTAAATGTATTATTTTCCCCCTCTTTATTATTATTACAATAAATCAAATCATGTATCCTTCTCGGAATACTTTGGGAAATCTGGATCCAGAAAGACTTCTATAATCGATGGGCAGTTAGATTAAATAGAAAAATAGGAAAATCATAAACGGATGACAATATCAGAGTCCTTCATTCTAAGTGTTAGTCATTAGTACGGTGAGGCTTTTTTTTTGCTAGGCCTAATACTTAATTTATTATTATTGTTTTTGTGTATTTTGTTGTCTGTTGTTGTTGTTGTTGTTGTTGTTGTTGTTGTTTTCATTTAATAATATTGATGAGCGTCTGTGGTGTAGTGGTTGATGCTTAATTGTCGAACGCAAGAGACCCGATATGTTGTTTTAACGAGCGCGGTAAATTGTTTATCGAGTATCTCCGATCTTTCTGCTGGGATGTTTTTGCATAGATCTACCTCTCTCAGCCTGGCTTGATCCTGACAGGCAGGATGGAAGTTCCCCCCTAATCTTAATTAGGCCTGTACATGTGTATTTTGTTTATTGGGGCGTAAAAACGCTTAGATCTACATTAACTTAAATAGACACAATTAATATATATTAGTATTCATTATTAATAATTGGCCTTACAATACCTTATTTTTATTATTGTTCAAAGTCCACAGGGAAGTAATCATAAATAGATTTAGTACACACAAAAAAGCGACTATTATATCGGTTATGTACCTTCCTAAGCTACTCCAAATGGGGTCTCTTTCAACGTGCACGCAATTCGTAATTTGAGTGTAAATGAATTATAAAGAACTGAATGCATGTTTCAAAGCATTTACCGGTGAGTAGACACATGGCAAACAAAATGAATTAAAGTAAATTTTAATGTAAAGAGACACCAACAGAAGCATCATCTTAAACAATACCGCAAAGCATATCCACTCCAAAGAAACAACGAAAACAGCAACACGAACTTAATTCGGGGCCTCTCGTGGCCTAGAGGTTAAGGTGTTCGCCTCTCATTCAAAGGTCCCGAGTTCGAATCCTGGTAGCTACGGAATCATTTTCTTCTCTAAAAATTGTCTACTTTCACCTCTTTTCATGCTCTCCGGCAATGTTCTGTGGGCTGCTTTCGTCGCCACTTTCTGCCCCCACCCCCTCACCTCCTTT